AATAAATATGTTCGATTTATGGGTTTTGGGTTATTATTTCGTACCTAACCTTGTGCTTATAAGTTATTTAAGTATTATTCTATTACCAAAAAAAGTTTTAATATGAAATATGAACAGTATAAATAATATAAGTGTCAAGTGTCGATAGTGAAACCGAGTCCGAACCCTTCCAAGACAGTGGGAGTGAATTCGCGGTTAGGTTAGGTAACAACGTGAGCAAACAAACACTGACAATGAATGTGAGGATTTAAGTTTAGACACAGGGAGTACGGAAAGGTCATGCTAGAGTGTACTATTTGCGCTATTTGATACTAATTTTTGTTCGCGGAACAATTTCGTGCATGAAAAGTAGTACCAAATAGCGCAAATAGCTTGCTCCGCGAACCCACCATTAGTTTCAACTACCGTTAGTTTTTTTTTATAATACCATTATACCAGTGGCGGATACAGGGGGAGGGAACATGGGGCCCGGGCCCCCCCTAAAGTCTGTAAATTGTGTAAAATATTAGGCTTTTGGGTTAAAAATGGCGCCCTAAAAAGCATATTCTACATTGATTTTCATTTTGCTCCCCCTCTAAAATAAATTCCTGTAGCCGCCCCTGCATTACCTATACCAATATAATTTTGTGTATAATACCAATTACCAATATATGGTTTGTTGCCTCGACTTTATTTTATTTCATTCTCAACTCTAAAACACAAATAAAAAGATAGATAGAAAAAAAATGTACACTGATCAATATTAACGCCGGGTTTATACAACATTTGCATAAGCCGTAATCATAATCACAGTCTTAATCATCGTCATAATCACAACGCAATTTTAATGTGCGTTTATAGAACATTTTCATTATCATAATTTTTATATTAGTGAAGTTGGATAACATAATTAAAGGCTAAGTTCATGGTAGATGTCAACAAGTTTATAAGAAGTGGATAGTTTAATTTTTATGATTATTACTATGATTGTGATCACTATGTAAATGTTGTATAAACCCGGCATAACTTGCGCAAAGACCTAATTATCTCTTAAAAAATGTATCATTTCTAATTTTCAAGAAATCTTGAATTCAAGAAATCTTGCAAGACTCTTGAAATTTCTTGCATATTAAAATCTTGTCATGTCTTGAAATTCAAGACAAGTAATTTTGAAAGTCTTGTCTTGAATTTCTTGCAAGAGTCTTGGTCTTGCAAGACTTTTTCAAGAGTCTTGTGCAACACTAGTAACACTCGTACGAGGTAGGTATCCACTAGGGGCACCAAAAAAACATATTTTTTTCTTTTTAGTTTAAAGTTTAAAAATCTAGTAAAGTTTCAGCTCTGATATGAGGAGGTGTCCCATCGTGATTTTCTATTTCCCATTTACATAACACGGGGAGATATTTTTTTGGAGTTTTATTGCGTTTTAACAAATCAGCATATTGTAAAAAGCAATGCGCATTCTTGCAGGAAATTGAACGGTCTTCAAAAAAGGTCTAACATGAATTTTCATTTAATCGACTCGTTTGAAAGTTATTCAAAGTTATAGTTGAGCCGTTATTTTATCACGAAATAACATAAAATATCTTATTGTCCTAAAGTTCATCAAGTGTTATTTGGTAAAACAATGACTTTTTTACGAAATACAAGTAATTATATTTATATAAAAATATAATATATTTATATAAAAATAATAATATAATAATAATATATTAATTATTTATTTATATAATATAATATATTTATATTTTTTTTTTTAAGTAAGAAAAATAGATTTTTTTCTATATTTAATCTTAAGTGGTACTCGATTTTTTTTTCACCTGAATTAATTACTAATAGTCTAAGTACTAGTAATCGAAAAATTTTCAAACATTTTTGCCACGCGTTTTAACACTCCTTAATACGTTTAACACAGTTTAAACTTAATACGCCGCACATGTGTTGTGCAATTTGTTTGACATTATATTGACATTGTTCAGGTGTTGTTAAGATACAGTATAATTTTATATAACATTTTAGATGTTAGTTTTTATATTTTATACTATAATCATTTTATTTTTCATCCTTGTCAGAGTACATTAAAATAAGTTTACTACAAAACCATCTAGTTCAACCAAAGTAGTTCTAATTAGTGGCAGCGTAATGGTCCAATACTTGCACAGACTTAAAAAAATACAAGACGCAACCACACCTAAAAAAGTATTTTTCATTCAAATTTATTCAAAAATTATAAAGAAAGAATTTTGAAAGAATGTTCTTCAATTTGAAATTCATACTACCAGTATTATTACCGTACGGTTACTATACCGTATGATCGAAAAAAAAAAACGGTGTCAAAGGTGGCTGGGAAATGACAATCGATAATAATTTTGGCGGTGTCGATCACTAGATCTATAAATAAAATATAATTATTTAACAAACAAACAAACGATTTACTAAAAATTACCATATAATTTGTCAAAAAATTGAAAAATTAAAAAACATAGAACGTTTCCATATATATTATGTAAATCTATTTTCAAAAAATATTTTTCCCTGGATTTAAAACTACAATATTTACAAATAATGTTTACTTAATATAAAAATAATTACAACCATCTTAAGGCCAACTGGCAACTGGTAGTAAGCGCCATTAAAAAATAAACAAGAGTACGCGTCAAGTAAATGACGTCTAGGGCTAGGGCTTGATCTCGCCAAAATTATCATAGTCGTCTTTAACGTTTTTTTTTCGATGCTCTACCTACATCCAAATACCCCCAAATATAATATTATACAATACGACCTACTAGAAATATTAGCCTTGAAGCTTTAGATATCTTTTTTACAATTTTCTCAATAATAATTTTATTCAAACTCAAAGTTTTCTTAACCAACAAAACTATTTTACGTTTATAAGGAAAATATATTCCCCTAATGGTAATAAAGAATATCAATAAATAACTAGTAATTACTTCAAAATAATTTTAAGTGCAGACATCTAATAGCTTACGTACATTATATTACGATTTCAATCAAGTGAATCTGTAAAAGCTGTACCATCGAATAATTGCTACATCCTTAATCGAAAAAACTGCATACAAAATCATCACGCCAAGGCCTGATTTGGGCCCATTAGCGGCAGGTGCGCTCTGAAAAATAAACCAAAGAACCACGTGGGAACCAAGTCAAGACGAGTCCAGACTTGTGCAATCGCGATAAGGCTGTTTCGACAGTGGAATACAAAAGGTTGAAGATAATTTCAACAATAGTATTCTTTTTTGTTTTTTTTTTTAATATATGGTATAATTAAAATGTTTACTTGGTTAGTTATTTATAATAATTAGTAGACAATAATTGGCGAGTATACGGACTATCCAAATGTCTGATTATTTTGATAGAAAATCATATTTCATCTTAAATAGCCACCTATATGAGAGGTTACTATTTTCTAGTGTTTGGAAAAATGTTATAAATATAAAAAGCAATGAATATATTATAGGTAGTTTTACACTTAAATTTAAAATTTTTCAAAAGTGGAGTTAATCGAAATGTACACTGACTGGGGCTCAATTATCCTCTAAACCCTCCCCTTGCATCTAATTTTACCTATTATGATGTATCATTTACAAGACAAGTGCGTGACAAAGTGGGACAATGAATCAGGTTCAACTTGTATGGGGTGAATTTTAGGGTCAGAAATAATGTAGTAAATAATAATTTGCAGCCTTTTAAGCGTAAAATGTTATAAGAACAAGATTTATTATTTTACAACTGCTTTGACTGACATGACGTTTAAATCGACACCAATAATTATGTTATGGATGTTTTATTACAATTTTTTCAACAAGTTAATTATCGATGATATGTCTCTGTGTTTAGTGGCTCTTTTTATTGTGAATAACGATTAATATATTTAGCATCTCATTAAACATATTATCTGTAGTCTCTCAACAAAAGAATCTATAATTGTTTCAATTATTGTCTATTATTTGATATAATGATTTCTGTTTTAATTGCTGTAATGTCGACGTAAAAATTTTCTTCTTCAATAGATTATACTTTTATGTTATAGACAATTTATATCTAAGAAGTCCTAATATAACACAAATTACAAAAAATGTAAGATTGACTAATAGATTATAGTAAAAGTGCTTTATTGTATTTTTTGGCACTGAAACAGTTACATTTAATATTAAATTTGAAAATAAATGTTTGATGCTTTCTTTTCTCTAACTTAAAAATATTGTACAATCTAAATATTTCCAGTTTTAGATCAAGATATTAAATCAATGCACAGCTGCTTATATGTTTCTTCGAGAATAACAAAATTCTTCAGCCCTTCATCGAATCTGATACAATTTCATAGAAAATATCTTTTCTAGTACAAAACGGTACGCTATTGTGCATTTGCACAAAACTGAAATCAGGTAAGAAATCCTTCTATCTGGAAAAGGAGCCAGCGAACGATTCTCTAACCCTAAATTAAAATTCTTGAAAAGGTCCTAAATATAGTGTGGCTATTGAAAGCGATTTCGACTGACCAACCCTAACCTGTTTACCGATTCTGCACGTGCACATATTTTAAATAAACTTCGCGTTGGGTACGAAACGAGCCCAAAAATTCAACTCGATGCCTAAAATGGGGTTGAGAAGAGGTAAAAAAGGGTCAAGGCGATCACAATGTACGAGGGAGTATTTCCAATTCAGCGCAAATCTTTTAAAAACACCCCTACGTATACCATCTGCCTTCTTTTCGTGGGAACCCAGTCCTAGTCGCGATTCTCACGGATCTCTTCCACGTTGAAACACCCTATGCCTGCATACACATACACACAACCACATATTCGATCTGTTGGCCTTATCGCACTTGTTGTGTGGAAATTGAGGGCGTCTCGCTCGGCGCGTTTCACTTCGCTCGCTCGGCCGAATTTGAACACCTGTCCCTGTTCGTTCCTCCGATAGGCCGAGGGTTGTACCCTTAGGGATCGGCGGCAGTTGACGTCACACGTCCGCACTCTTATAAAAAGAGACGCAGCCCGACGAAACACATCATTCGATTTCCGAATTCGCTTCGAGTTTTACGAACGAGTCTCAGCAAAGTTTTTTTTACGATTTTCTTATTGAAAATGAATTACGACGATTACTTAGTTAGTTCCAACAACTCCATCAACGACAACAAAGTGAACGCTAGAAAGATGGCGCGCAGTCCTATACACCAGATCAAGAAGTTAATCAAATGTGTGCTGAAGAAAAGCCAGAAGAGTACTTACAAGAAACATCCCGAACCGACATATTTCGATGACGAAATCGACGACAACATCGCCAACGAGATCCTCGAAAACGAAATTTTCGAAGAGATCGACGTTTGTGAAGATTTTGCTGGTGTCGAGGTATACGATGGATCCTGCAGCGAGATTCTGCGAATTACCAGGGGTCAACGCTTAGTTCCTGTCCGATTTGCCAGAACTGAAGCCGGAACATTCTTCTGGACGTCCGTGGCCTCTCCTGACAGCGACATTCTGAAAGACGGCGACCACAACGCAATCTGCAATTATCAAACACCCGAGCTCCAAGTTCCTTGCTGCGATAGATGGGCCCAAGCTTAAGGTTTCTATCCGTAGCTGGTTCCTGCAAAACGTTGTGATCGAAAACTGTGCCTTATGATGTTAACTGTTGTGATTTTATTGCTCAATGCCTTTTTCTTTTTTCGACTGTACGTCGATGTGATAATGTAGAGTTTTATTTTTATCTATTTTTAATATTGTACCTAAAGTTATGTATAACCTGTCGTTATATGTGATTTCAGCTTTAATTAGATTTGTAATGTCTTCCTTTAGTTTTAAGAAGAAATATTTTTATTATTATTATTATTAAATAAAAACCATTTTTAAACCATATATTATTGTTTTACTGCACATTTTAATTAGCCTTTATAAAATACCAATGAAACAATTAAATTTTTCATACAGAGTAAGGTTTATACTTTTTTTTTCAAAAAGAAAGTTTATTTTTATCATTTCATTTTTATTTTTCCATCTATCAAAAAATATATCATTACCAGACAAAAAATATTTTATTTAGTAATCATTAAAAATACTTTAGATATACTGTTCTATACGATAAAGTTTACTTCTAATATATATTTTTTACTTTACTAGAAAAAATATCTCTAAGATCTTACAACTGAACTATTCTATCATCTCGTCTTCAGGTAAAAAAGCAGTAACTGACCCAGCCCAGCCAAGATAGTCATTTCAGTCAAATCTTTTATAGTATGCTTTCTACCTACCTGAGCTAGAAACTTACCTGCGGTGGCGAGAACTTTCTATAAGAAGATTAGTTTTATGGGTCCCTTGATGTTCTATATACAAATATTATATACAGGGTGAGAAAACTTTGAGCCGTGGGCACAGAAATGCAAATATAGTTAATGGAGTCCATGGTTAAGGTATATTTTTTTGTATAATATAGTCACCTTGCGAGTTTTTAAAAATAGCGAAGATAATGTCACAAAATCTATTTTTATCCTAATCATAATATACCGGGTGCGTCTCAAAAGTGGCTCATCCCTATAATTTTTTTATTTTTTCATGTAAAAAATCAAGATTTGGTATGTTAGTATATGACATAAATTAGGATTGATTGACGTTATTCAATTGTTTTTGGTCATTTCCTGTTTCACCGGAAATGACTACAACTTTTGATTTTTAACTGGCACCCACGGTATTTTTTTACTTTATTCGATAGAAAATGACATTCTGAATAGAATGACATGTCATATGTCACCTTTGACATTCTCGCTTAATAAAAAATTGTATTTTAAATTTCAATCTGTGCCATAGCTATGTTAAAAACACTAAGTAATTCTTAATCAAGGAGCCTTGGAAAAATAGATTTGATCATCTAATATTTTTAGTGTCTTGTCCTGGCCAGTTAGAAAATGCCCTAATCGTATTTTTAATCATATCTCAATTATTTCAAATGGAACGTGGGTGGCTCATTAGCATATTTGGAAAAAGGATTTTTTACGAATAATTTGATACCACACACTTGTTATTTTGGTATTTCGAATCAAGTTGACATATGATATGTCATTCTATTCAGAATGTCATTTTATATCAAATAAAGTAAAAAAATACCGTAGGTCCGATTTAAAAATAAAAAGTTGTGATCATTTCCGGTGAAACAGGAAGTGACCAAAAACAATTGAATACGTCAATCAATCCTAATTTATGTCATATACTAACATACCAAATCTCGTTTTTTTGTCTGAAAAAATAAAAAAGTTATAGGGGTGAGCCACTTTTGAGGCGCATCCGGTATATCATTTTCATTGTTATAATCGAAAAAACATTTTTCCAACATCCATGTTTATAATATTTTTTCTACCTCAGCGTCTTTAAGGACTAAGTATATGCAGAAAAATTTGGCTAATGTGACGTCATAACTATTCTTTAATAACCATACCATTTTTGTCATAAACGAAAAGAATTTATTTCATTAAACAAAGTTTATATAAAAAATGTTCTCTACCTCTACGGGTTTAGCCAGAGAGGCATCTAAACCACTTGATTAGATGTAGGTTACCAAATTATATAGTAATTATACCTCATAGTTTATGAATTATCGCTTGTTAAATTTCTTTAATTTTAACATTGACTCACTGACAGATCATCAAAATTCTAAAGTACTTCTAGATGTGTCACAAACTTCGAATTTCGAATGTTAGGTAGCGTTAAGCTTATAATGGAAGGAAAAAATTAAAAATCTCGAAATATCTTTATGGATTAAAAGTTCGTTGTCTAGCCGCCAACGGTAACTGACTTTCCAGTCGGGAAAAAGGTATAAAACTAGAATTAATCGAAGCGGTCCCTTCTGATTTTATTTGTATATTAATGTGCCAACAATAATTCAAGGATTATGAATTGTTTCTAGTCAAATTTCTTTAACTTCGCCAGTGACTCACTCGCCGCCATCAAAATTCTAAGGTACTTCTAGATGTATCACAAACTTCAAATTTCGAATTTTAGGTAGCTTTAAGCTTATAATGGAAAGAAAAAATGAAAAATCTCGAAATATCCCTATGGATCAAAAGTTAGCTGTTTAGCTGCTACCGGTAACTGACTTTCCGGCGATGGTAATAGGAGGACCTGTGAGGGGATTGTTTTGAAAATTTGGATTTTTATATACAGACACTTGCTCCATCTATCTAAAATATTATCAGCGTTACAGTGTTGCCGGATCATTTGAAAATTAGTAACATCTTTGTTATTTTAAATGGAACACCCAGTGTATTATTTCATTTTTGGAAACTACGCTCATATCTCATAATGTTTTATTATACCAACTTTTACCTATCTCTTATAGTTTTCGAGATAAAAAATAGAATATGTGTAAAATTGACAAAAACATGATTTTGAATAAGCAATGTTGGTAAAATCATGAATTGAACATTTTTAAAATTGATATTTGGGTTATAATTAAAGTCGAAAACACACGTCGTTAGAAAACTAGAAATAATCCATTTGGTAATTATCTGACTTTATACGATAATTCAAAGTTTATTAATTATTGCTAGCCAAATTTCTTTAATATTATTTTGAATGATATATTACCCGATAAAAAAGTAGGAGGATAACCTACAAAAAGAAATGAGATCCCATCAAAAACATAGAATGTAAAAAACGTCTCGCAACACAATTCTTCCACTATAAAAAGTTGTGAGATATCATGTAAAACAAGTCAGTTTATTTTATTTAGTCTCTCTTTAAGCACCTATTCAACAATTTTGTTATAAATTCAAATAGTATCAATATTAGTCATCTTTATTTCTGTAATAATTATAATGACTTGGCAATTGCCCGATATGATATTCTATTTTAACTAGGGCGGATACAGGGATTTATTTTAGGGGGAGGGGCAAATAAGAAGTAATGCAGAATATGTTTTTTAGGCGCCATTTGTAACCGAAAATTTATAGAGGGGACCGGGCCCCATGTGCCCCCTCTGTATCCGCCACTGATTCTAACTAAAAAAACTTTGTTTTTAAGGTCACTGTTTAAATTTACTTACGAGACTTTACGAGATGGTAGATTATTCTTTTTTATAAGTGTACAATTGCAATTACTTGCTGTCTGTACAATTGCCAAGTCATTATAATTATTACAGAAATAAAGAAAATTAATATTGATACTGATAATTTATAACAAAATTGTTGAATAGGTGCTTAAAGAGAGACTAAATAAAATAAACTGACTTGGTTTTACATGAGATCTCACAACTTTTTCTAGTGGAAGGATTGTGTTGCGAGACTTGGCATTTTTTACATTCTATGTTTTTGACGGGATATAATTTACGTATAAATATCAGTTACACTGTAAAGTATAAAAAGTGTATTTTTAATTAAAAGTTTGGTATACGATGGGACAAATACATGTTCAGGCAATAATTTACTAAACTAGCTCGAATACACAAACAATAGGCATAATACAAGCGAAAAAAAAACGAAGTAAATACACAGCATATACATTTAAAAGTTGTGATGAGTTTTTACGGATATTAAGCTATTTTGTACACTTCGCACTAAAAGTGGTTCTAAAAAGAGCAATGTTCGACTGCATGATCTGCTAGTAAACATTTTTAAGCTTGAAGTATCACATAACACTATTTATTTAAACCAAAAACTCGTAATTCAAAACTGAAGTGTCAAAACGAATGACAATGTCAGGAAATAAATAAATAAATGCGGCAACTTGACATTTTTTAACAGCAGAGCTACCACCTGACCTGAATCCCCAGCGCGAAATTTAAATTCCAGCTAGTCAGCCCGGCGTCGCTCCGTGGTTGGCAACAATGAATTTAAAATAGCGCCCTCGATTACGTAACTAAAAGTTTAATTGATATGAAATATATATTATTTATCTCAATATAAAAAATAATGTTATGACTCTACGAACTCGAATATCAAAAGTTAATTGTTCTTACTACTAAAAGCAGGGTTGGAAAAAATTATGATTTTTAAAAAAAATCAAAAAAATCAGATTTTTTTTATTTAAGTCAGATTTTTTTGATTTTAATTCAAAACAATATTTAAATCGGATTTCCAAATGATTAGGACTTATTTCCAATTAAAGTTCTATTCTAAATGGCTAAATCTTTATAACTCTGCCCGATATCGATAATATTAACAATTCTACGACGCGTTGTCATTTTTCCACATCGCATCGGTCACCAATATACTCGTATCCCGCAAAAAAAGTCGCTCGCTTCAGATCAAAAGGATTTTTTTTCATACGTTTCAAATGTATTAATTTTTGTCATTTTAACGCCTAAGCATAAAAGTAAAGCACTGTTACGCCTAAACACTAAAGTACAGAAATATATTATTAAACTGATATTAAGTGTCAAATTCAACGAGTGTATAAATTGTTGCTCGATTACTGTTCATATTATTTGCAATGTTTGAAATTGATTAAAAAATTATTTGTAATGTTTAAAAAAATAGTATGTTCTATTCAGAGTAAAAATGTACTTTTTGTGCCTCCCTGTAACGTCGGAATAGTTTTACGATGGTCCTTCAAAGGTCCTTCAAAAAAGTATAATTTTACTCCTAATAAAACAATACACTATTGTTCGGAAATTGTCTTAAGTCGAGAATGAAATAAGTATGTATTATCTAATGTCAAAGTGTAAAGTACTTACTACAGATCAAAATGTCGGTAGGAATTTGGAAACATACAACCGTTTCAAAAAAAATAAAACAGCATATTTTCTGACAACGATTATAGATTCTCGGGAATGCACTAGCTTTGCGTGATTCTGCACTAGCTTTGCGAATGATATGTATTCGAACAGCGATTTTTTGTCACTTATACATAATTTTCACACGAAATTACTG